AGTTGGGACAGCTTTGAATGTGCATTCTCTATTAGCATTAGCTATTGCCTGGCTGAAATAGCCAGCTTTTGTATTTACTACCGTCTTCAGTAATAATAAGCAAATTGGAGATCATGGCTACAATTATTTAACTGTCTTTTGTGCAGAACTATTGTATACTTCCATGGTTTGTTTATCTTTTTTTTAGTTACAACAAATAATTTCAAAGGTTATTCAATTCAATACAACATGTGAGCAAAAATAAGATATGTAAAATTACTTATTAGGAAACTATTTTATGTTAGTATTTTATGCTTTTCTGTAAAATTCATTTTAAGACCAAATTGCAGTTTCTTTGGCTTCACATCATTTTTTTAAAAGTTATGTTTTGCTAACTTTCTGTCTTGGTTTTAATGAATACATACATACATACATACATACATATATATATATATATAGTACTACAGGATTCATTATTTTTGAAGAAGTGTTTTATGTTGTCTGTATTTTATACCAGGGACAGCTTTCTAAAAGTTATATTGAATGCCTCTTTTATCTCCCTGGGATGCAAAATAATTTTCATTAGAACAGGTTGGGATGATTGAATTATTTCATAATGTCTGATGGTTTCAAGCAGATTATAACCCAGAGTCTTTGGTTTTCTTGCAATATAAAATTACAGCAAGTTTGGTCACAGATTTTAAAAATGGAATGTCTTGCACTGACTGTGTTCCTCTTGTATGACAATTATTTCAGAACTAGTAGCTTACACATGGAAACCTGGGGTCTGATTCATTAAAATATGTTTTGTCTACCTTATATTTTTGCATATAGCTTAATGCTCTTGAATGGCTTGCAATTTACAAACAAGTAGAAATCATTAAAATATTGCTATCAACTTAGTAACAGTTGTAGCCTTAGAATCTTATGAACTGCAGATTGAAGACGCTGACCATGCACATCCTATTATACACACAAACGCCTTCCTGTTTTTAGCCCAAAGTTCATTTTTACATGCAGCACATATATTTTTTTCTCATCAGCCTTTATCTCATACAAACCTATTTTCTGACTCTGCAAGAGCAACCACAATACCCAGGGGTTTGAAATACCTTTAATTTGAAGAAAACCTTAAGTGTTTGCAGCTTTGAAACTTAGAGGAGAAAAGATAATGAAAGGGAGATATAAATGAGGGCTGTAAAATTAAAAAGCATGAAGGAGATGGGATGAGAGTTTTACTTAGGCCTGGCTTGGATAACACAGTACACTATTGTCGGTTAATTAGCCCTTGAGGAGCTGCAGTGTGGTGCCAGCTGTAATTTTAATAAGCAACCCTTGACTGTGGGTTGTCTATCATGCAAACCCAGCCCAGTGGGGTATTTTGAGGGATAAGCCTTCTATATCTCTGCAGCACAGAATAGGACCCTTGTTGAGCCTATAAATAGCCCCAACAGGGCAGGTTTATACAACACAGTTGAGAGATGGGGTAGCCGAAATGGGGGATGGCACATGCTACTGCCATGCTATATAGTCTACATAGGCTGTTATTAGTCTACCTATCCAGTGAAATTCACTGACAGTGGAATCGGGAAAGATGAAGGAAGGCCTTCACACAGTGCATAATGAAATTATGAAATCAACTGCTGCAGAATGTGATAGCTTGAAGAGAAATTAGCTAAATTCATGGAGAATAGGCCTATTGGGCTATTAGCTATGACAGTTAAATGGCAGCTTTCATGTTCCAAGGCTAAGACATGTAGTGTGAGAGGGCTGTGCCTTGAGACCATGTTTCTGGTTCTCCAGAAAGCATTTGATTGGCCTCAGTGTGAACACTTCCACAAGCATGAAACCATCTTGCTGATGAAACATCATCTCTCTCATTCCACCATCTTTCCATGGCCATTTTTGTACCATCATAGTATGAGTACTCTACCACCCCATTGTTTGTTCTTCCAGGAAATCTTTTCGATTTCTCTGAACCTTATGCCAGTACCCTTTCTTGGTGAGCATTCTCCTCACGTTCAGTTTTCTGAGCAGAGAAAATGTGAGGAAGAAACAGCACCATGTCTTAATTCCATGTATTGGATGGCAGCATGGAGTTAAGTTTTTGTATGTGTAAACTCTTTCATGAGAAGAATCTGTGTCCGTACCACTGTAAATACCACGTACATAAAAACTCCATACTCAATTTCAGTCCAAGGCATAGAAGGTGTGAAACAAGGCCAGCTATTATGTCTTCCGTACCCCTCCATAGGTGGGGTACCACATATGTTACAGGTAGAGCTGAGCATGAGGTGCAGGCGGCAGAGAAGCAGCAACTTGGATAGTGAGCCAGTGCCATCCATTGAGTCTACTTTTTCCACTTGCACAAATATCTGTCCATCCTAGGGATCTTGCCTTTCCTAAACAGTTACAAAAACAGGGATTTTCTTGGGGTAGAGGAATCTGAATGGAGCAATAATCCTCCAAGCATTTTTTCCACGGCCTAATAGAGCTCAGACCTCATGTGTTATACCCTGCTAACAGCATAATCCCAGTCACCTCTACTCAGAAGAAATTCCCACTGAACTTAGTGGAATTTACTCTCAGGAATAGGATTGCAACCTAAATCCTGTCCCCTCTTCTCAAAAGTTGAAGAGGATTTACAGGTACCAGAGCTATGTAAAGAGCCCTCCTACTACTTAGGATTTGGCTGGATATAATGTTTCTTTTTTAAAATAAGTTTTATTTGAAATTATAATCCTAAAGAACAAAGAACAACTAAAAACAACATCAATCAACAAAAACATCGGGCCTGCTGGGTCAGTTCCCACAACCTTTTTCTTTTATGATAGCTTAAAAACATATTTAAATCTATGCGAAGTCCCGTTCTCTAGCCAATAATAAAAAGAGTCCCAAGTTTGATAGAAGTTGGATATAATGTTTCTTTTGGGAAGGAAAATGTTATCCAGATTAGTCTGTAATTTAGTTGTTATTTAGCTCTGGAATTTATGGATCAAAAAATACGTAGTACTAAAACATCCCATTAAAAAATAAATATTTCAGATTGCTGTTGTTTTTGTTACTGCTATCATCATTACTGTTTGTTCAGAAGATTTAAAAAGGTTGAGCTAGACTAATACTGGATGAGAGTTAGCTTAGGAACTCTTTAAATGGAAGAAAATAACATTAGAAGTGATGGCACCATTATCTCTTTCTGGCTCTTACCGTAATCCAAATTTCTGTTCACATTTGCACTAGTGATTTCATAATTTAATTTAACTCTGTTTAAGCTCTTTCATGTTTACTGCAGCATAACTGACAGTAGAAACAGACACTAATTTTCTTTGGAAGTCAAAGCCTTGATCATTTGTGTTCATTAAAGATCCCAGTGTACTCAAAGGTGAGGAATAAAGGTGTTAAGTCATGTAACTTGGCCAAATTCCAGTTTCAGTAATTACTGCTAATCTTCTTGCCTAAATTCCTCATCCAGTTTTAATTGGATGTAGTCTTCTTCACTGGCTGCTCAAACTGTCATGCAGCATTTTAATATGTGATTAATCAGTTGTTATTAGCTATATACAGAAATTACTGAATATGAATGGAGGAAGTAAAGCTCCCTTTTTATTATGTAAGTTTGATATGATCAGAAAATCATGGACTGACAGGCAGGGGCCATTGATACTACCTAATCCCATTGACTCCTAATGAATATGTCAGACTTCTTCATGCATGACCTTCTTTACAAATTAATTACATAATCCAGATTATAGGGTGCCATCAGTGGCAATGTTAACAAACAAGGCACACCTTGCCAAAGATTCTTTAGGCAAGAAATAGCTTTGGAATAAGAACACAACAAGAGCCATACTGGATTAGACCAGAGGTCCATCTAGTCCAGCATTTTGTTCACACAGTGGTCAACCAGCTCAAGCAAACTGGATTAACAACCAACTCACAAGTGTCACTTGATGGGAAATTCTTTCCTGAAATAACAGACAAATTCTACTGTTGTGTTAGCTGTTTCACCTCACCGTCACTCCTGCCCAACACAAATATCTCCATACACGCCATATTTTTGGCAGGATACACTGAATTCTGTGTCATAGAATCTAGTAATGAAACAAAACCTAGCGAATGTCTGTCTGTGCTAGTGTCCAAATCGCTCTGAAGGCACAGAAGGGATTGGCCAAAGGCTGATTTCACTATGTTAGGGCTGCCATTGCCCTTTCTGGCTATGCAGCAGAATCTGTAGGTCTAACTCCTAGACTGAATACCCTGGCATTCAAATTGCTGCAATAACTAGGCTCTGGCTGTGAGATCCTTTGCAGCAGGAACTAAACAAACAAGGCCCTTTATTTAAAATTGGGTTCAGAAATGGAAGGCCATTTTTTCACTCTGAAGAAGATGCCCTTTCTAGTCATTTAAAATAAAAATGCATGACCCCAAAACGTAGGAGCCAAAAATAGGTCAGGTAGTTGGCTCCATGTTTCGAATAAGTAGATTTCTCACAGCATTGCTGCTGCTGCTGCTGCTGCTGAAAGCACAGTTTCTTCAGCAGCCATGTTGCTTTCAGACAGTTCCCCTGTGACTCTGCAGGAGTAGCTACAGATGGGTCCACAGGTGCTAAAGTTGCTTCTGGAACATTAACACCTGATCAGGTTTCTCTCTTGCATCCTGCACAGGATGGGGGAAGATGCTGCTGGAAGCAGCTGCTCCCTCTGCTGCCAGACCCCCAATATGCCAGCTCAAAATAGACAATGTGTAGTTTTTAATACAGAAGTTTGAGCAGGTTTTTAAGTAGTCTGATGTCCTGACTGTTATCAGAGGGGCATTAATTTTATCATTATGGCAGGCATGAAGGTGATTAGTGCTTTTGTTCTTTTGATGAATCAGATTCTTGGTGAAAATTAATAATTTTTTCCAACTCTTGTATGAAATGATTAGGAACATTTTCCTTTTGTAGTTGTGCTGTAGAATATTTTGCTAAGAAATTGAATTGTGCAGAAGCCTTTTAACAAACTTTTTGTTGTTACACTCAGGTAACAAGCATGGTAAGTATTTTCAGTAAAGCTAATATTATGTCCTTCAGCTGTGCTTGGCAGATGTATAGATATCTAGATATATATACTTTTTTTTAGCTAGCTTTAACTGTACTGTTAGCCTGTGCTGTTTCTAAAGGAGCTGTTCAAATGACAAAGCTGCTTTCTCTCTCTTCTGTCTTTCTCTCTCTCTCATTACTATGTATGGGCTTTCGAGGGAATATGTGTGTGAATTTGTATACTGTATTGGATGGCATGCATTCCTGGCCAGCATGCTTGTGACTTTGCTTGTAGCCATGAATCTGCCTCTTAGTGCTTGTGTTCCCTTCATTATTATGTCCTATATCCAAAATTTATTCTGGTGAGAAAACTGGTGGTCTGAAATATTACATAAACAGCCATTTAAGGTTGCAATCCTATTCATGTTTAGATGGGAAAAAGTCCTACAATTCTCACCATTCCTCAGAAGTGCAGGAAGTTGTGGGGCTTTTTTTCCCATCTAAATATGTATAAGATTGTGGCCTAAATCTCCTTAATTTTGCTGAAGTCAAATTTGTCCGCCCTAGCAGCAAGAAAGTTATCCCAGAAAAAAATCTTGGGGCAGGTACTGTAGTTCCATCTGTACATAACATTGTGCCTGGCCAGTATCTGTTCAGCATAGATCCCTGTATCCACTGTTTACAGAAACCTTCTTACAAAGCTGCAGCCATATATGAGCCACCTCTTCATGGGGTGATTCTGCATTGTTGAAGACTGTGTTGGTGTGTGTGAATAATACACCGTATTGCAGAACCAAACTCTGCTTTCCCCATGCAGTAGAGTCTCCCACATAGTTACATTATTTGTATGCACCTCCAGGTCTTCGCATGTAGAACCTATGCAAACTTTAGGTAGGTGTGTGCTGGGCATACCATGGATTTGAGCAAAACTGGTGTTTTTCCATTCCTGTGTAGGACGTGAACCTGGCTTGTCAATATTTGTTTCCTATTTTAAAACAGCTTTCCTGATGCTATGAGATGTGGGGGGGGGGGTGGGAGATTGAAAGCTACTAAGTCCTACCACCTGGTGATGGTAAAACTCATTGTTGGGGACTATTGGGCATGAACTTGGACTCTTGGTCCGAGGCTGGAACCAAACCTAGATTAGCTGTCCTGGGCTATATTCTTCACAAGCCTCAGAGTCCTCTACAGGATCTTGATTACAATGATGGGAGAAGTCTTAGAACAAGGATAGGCAACCCAGGTGCTGTTGGACTACAATTCCCTCACCACCAGCTTTGCTGGTTGGATCTGATGGGAGTTACAACTCAACAATATATGGCAAGCCAAACAGTGCCTAGCTGTGTCCTAGAAACTTAGCTGCCTGGTATAGAAAGCTGTACTTTAGGCTCCTGCTCCAGCCACTGGCTTCAGGGAGTCCTAACCAGGAGAACTTGCCCTCCAGGTCTAAAATCAGAGTCAGCTGCCTGCAATCCTTGCTTGATCATGTAGGGGAAACCAGCGGCCTCCATCTTCCCTTGAACATAGCCCCCCGTTGAATTTGAACAGCATCACTTTGGGTGCAGTCCTCTGCCTGTATAAAACAGGAAAAGTCCTACAACAGCCATGCTGTTGGCCTTTTTTCTGTCTAAACATACATAGGATGGTACACTTACCAAATTAAAGTTTTCACAATATATGGTTCTTCCCAGGAGTCCCTACTTTATGGGGTCAGATCCTGAAGGTATTGTGAAATTCCATTGATTTCAATGGAAGGGTTAAGCACATGTGACACTTTCACCTGCTGAAATCAACAGGATTTAAACTATGCAACTTTAGCTGGGTTCTATCCTTGCCTCAGGTTTCAACAGCTCACAGAGAGTGACACAAGCTGAACACTGCACTACAGCATGTGAGCAGTATTTTGCTGGTCTGTCCTCTTGCCCTTCTTCACCCAGCTTTTAAAGCAGCAGGATGCCTGCTTCCCAGCCCTTGAAGTGGGCTGCATAGAGAAGCAGATGAATTTCAAGCATGCATAAAAATCCTCCCACATAATAGTATTATGTTCTCATCTGCCTGGGGCCAGTGACCCTTATTACCCCTTCAAGGTAGTTACTTTTTAAAGCCAAATCTTAGTTCTGAATTAGTAACCTGATTTTGTTGCTGTTGTGTTGCAGTATGGGCTCAATAAAGGCTTTCAGATAATTCTTAATGATGTTCTAGTATTTGGACCGGGGGGGGGGGGGGGGAAAAAAGAAGTTAAAGGGCATTGTTCAGTTCTGATTCAGTTGACTCCCTATTGTTTTGCAATAGAGAATTCTGTTTGGAGCTAAACTGAGTCTAGATAATACTGAGCAGAGAACTTGCCTGGAGGCAATCTGAATGTATTTTGCTCCTATGCTACCTATTTCTGCATGGTATGCTTTTATTTTTCACATTTCCTGTGCTGTTTTAATTTTAGCATATGTGCTTTCTAGCTGTGCTTGCTCAGTGTGATTTGTTGTGCCCTCTGTATTAACGATTGTCTGTAATTGTCATGTTAAAGGATCAGACTGCAAAGGACAAAGCACTCCAGCACATGGCAGCCATGTCATCAGCTCAGATAGTGTCTGCAACAGCAATTCACAATAAGTTGGGCCTGCCAGGAATTCCCCGTCCTACATTTCCTGGAGCACCTGGAGTAAGTTAATTGGTTGCAATAAAAAATACATTTCAGAATGATGATTGGCAGGAAACAAGGAGTAGATCAATTAATTTATGCATAGAGAGTTCTTCCCTCTCTCATTATAACATTCTTTGGTGGGAAAAATGGAGGAAGTATGCTCTTAAATAAAGCAATTTTAAAAAGATTCTTTCTTTCTGTCTTTCTTTTTTCTGCATCTAGTTTTGGCCAGGGATGATACAGACAGGACAGCCTGGATCTTCACAAGAGTAAGTTTGGAAAATAAGACTATGCTTCTCTACCTATGTGTGCATATGTAGTTGTATACATATATGGTGCTGCTTGTGTATTGAAATGTATCTAGCCAAAGTGATTCAGTACCAGAGGCTATAAATGAAGCAAATAATGAGCAAGATGGAAAAAACTGGGGCAAGTAATGAGCAAACTGGAAAAGAATAGACAATTGTATAACAGGAATGAATTCTGTAGTTAATATTAGTTCCTGAATTTTAGACATTTTTCAAAGCATAGTTTTGCTTTTCTGTGATACTGCCTTTCCTTAGAATCATACACACTGTGTTGGGAAGATCAAACTATGCAGGGGAGTTTTAGTATGGGGAGTGGGAATCAAGTTTTTTCAGAAATTAGTTCCTGCATTGGATCAGGAGCAGATCTCAAGCATATTGTCCTTAATATGTATAATCCTAGGACTAGTAGGGTGCAGTTTCTAAAGGGAGATGAGGGAGACTGGTTAAACCCTGTAAGAAAAACCCTGCTTACCCCTACCACTGCTTTGTTAGTTCTTGCCCTCACCAGGCATTAATTATAAATGGAATTCTCTTCATCCCGTCCTTCCAAAAGAGCTGGCTCCACCCTCAGGGAGGTTCGTGCTGCTTATAGGCCAGACTCCTGGAACAGTGGATGTTTACAACAACCCACTAGGCTGATGAATCCACAACCCTTCCCCTGTGACCCTCCTTGTTCTGCAGTGACTCCCTCTGAAATAGGGGCCATCTGGTTCTCCCAGCTGCTTAGCTGATCTTGTGGCTTGTTAACCTTGACATTTCTGTAAAGCATTCTAACGCCTCCTCTTCTACTTGCTCAAATTCAGAGTCTGAACTCTCCAGCTTGAAAAGCGGTATTTTGAGAGTAATGGGCCTAGCCTCCTCACAGTTAGGTTTAATATTCAGGTCAAATACTGAATTCAAATCATGGTGGGATCTCTCAGTTTAGGCATTCATTGGAATGTGTAATGTGTTTTTATATGTCTGTATCTGCCACTCTGGAAGCTGTGGCTAAAAAGAAGGCAAGCAGTGTTTAAATAAACATGTAAATACACTGAAAGGAATTGAGTGGATGTCACAATCCTGAGAGCTGCTTCAGGCCACACAGCATGTTGAGGTGACAGCAGCAAGTCATATGCAGCAAGACATCTCTGTGGTCAGCTGCTGGAAAGGCGCGAGCATTTCCTATACCAAGTTTTGTTCATTTGCTCTATGATCCAGAATACTGGCCTAAGTACTTGAAAGGCTGTCAAAATGGTAGGCCAGGATCTTTTCTCAAACAACCCAGAGTGCAGGATGTAGAAGGATGGGCTCAAGTTACATATAGGTGTCCAGCTGGGTATCAGGAAAAATTTCCTGCCTGGTAGAGTAGTACAACAGTGGAACCAGTTTCCTAGGGAAGTTGTGGGCTCTCCCACACTAGAGGCATTCAAGATGCAGTTGGACAGGCATCTGGGAGGGATGGTTTAGCTTGGAGTCCTGCACTGGACCCAATGGTTCCTTCCTACTGTACTGTTCTATGAGCTCACCATCCTCATTTGTGCAATTCAAACAGCTTCTATCTGTATTTGCCATACCAGAAGGGAAGGGTCCCCAGCTTAAATATCCCAATTTGTCTGTGTCAAGATATGACACATATCTTGTCCAGTGTTCCTTTGCTTTCAGTATTATAATGAGAATAATTATGAATTTTATGTATACTATGACTGATTTCCTTACAAAAATCCTGTAATGTAGATGATTACTGTTATTATCCTCATATTACAGAAAGGGGGTTGAGTCTGCTGATTTGCCCAAGGCTTTCTAGTGTGTACATAGCTGAATGATTTGCACCATATATTTTCTTATCATAGCTTATCTTCTTTAATCAATATGCTTAGCTCTGTGTTGAATTTCTTTTATTTGTTTTTGGTCATTCATTGCAGGGAGAGGGTGAAAAGAAATTGCATCAAAATTGTGGGAATATGTGAGAATTTTGGATAAATGTGTCAAGGTGCAAGGCTTTAGTGCTTATCTTGCTGTAAGGAGGTGGAAGATAGGTTTGAGTGTGGTCTTTATTTTGCAATTTCAATGAAAAACAAACCCAAAAACCTTGTTCAGCTTTCAGGCATTCAACTGGGAGCAGCCCAGGTTCTGGTTTAGTCCTCCAGGAGGGTTTTTTGAAAGCTCAAGCAGTGGAGAACCTGCAAGGACAAAATGGGGGGAGAAATGGTAATGTAAACAGCACATGCAAACCCTCTAGCTACTACAGTATGTTACAGTAAGATAAATGCTGAAGCCCTACACCCTGACAAATTTATCTGAAAATCTCACAATCCTCACAAAATAGGCATAAAAGTAACTGCCTTTTCCCCAAGGAAATAAAGATGTGGGACTAAATATATTGTATCAGCTCCTACTAGTGCTTTTGGGGGGGGCGGACTTATTTATTTTTGCTATTTATTTTATTTATATACTGCACAATAACCAAAGCTGTCTGAGCAGCGTACAGCAGCACATAAATACAATAAGAATGCAACACAAACATACAAATAACACTAAAGTATCATAATTATTATAATTCATCATGCAATATAATACAGGGCTGAAATGCCCTGTCATAGTCTTAGCCAGACACTGAAAGGATAGTAGAGGTGGTGCCTGGCAGGCATCAGGGTGGAGCTCTTTCCATACTTGGGGCACCACCACCAATAAGTCCTTCCTCATCACCAACTAAGCTTCCTTAGGAGATGGTAGTCAGAGGCAGGCATCCGACCTTGGTCATAGTGCCTGGATAGATTTCTGGGAGGGATTGTGGGGCTAAGCCACATGGGTCTACAGATGAAACTGGGCCAGAATTGATATTATGAGTTTGACCCTTCTGGTCCTGGTTATTAATCTGGTGGTTACATTTTGTACAAGCTGTATTCAAGGGCAGCCTCACAAAGAATGCATTGCAGTAGTGTAGTTTAGAAATTACCAGAGCATAGATTGCTGAAAATGGCATTCCTGCCCCAATTGGAGCATAGCTGTGCTACTAGCTGAAGTTGGTAGAAGGCACTCTGAGCCATGGAAGCCACTCAAGCAATAAAGATGACTCAAGGAGCACCCCCAGGGTAAAAACTACTTCCTTTAGGGGGAGTGTAACCTCATCTTTTGAGAAGAACTACCCACTAACAGACTCTCAGTCTTGTCTGGATTGAGCTTCAGTTTGTTAGCCCTGATTCAGCCCATTCTTGCAGCCAGACACCAGGTTGGCACACCCAAAGCCAAAGAAGATTAAAAGAAGAAAGAGAGCTGCGTGTCATCAGCATACACTGATGTGTATACACATGGCATACACATAGCATGCCAACACTATGCCAAAACACTCTATCAGGTCTTTCACGTAAATGTTAGATAGCATGGGGGACAGAACCAGTCACTGAGGACTCTCCATGCTGGGCTGGAGCAGAATGCCACAAGTGCCACCTTCTAGAACTGACCAAGTAGGGACCTAAAGCAATGCAATACCACTATGCATACACTCCCAACTTGGCCAGTCAGGCAGAAGAATACACGGTTGATGGTTTGAAAGCCACTGGGAAATCCAGGAATATAAACAGGGTCACATCCTCCTGTCTCTTTCCCAACATAGGTCACCATATAGGGTGACCGCAGTAGTAACTTTGGTTTTTGGGGGGGTTTAAAAGTAAAGTAAATCAATCTGCTTGAAAAACCCTGTAATTGGAGGAAATTTATAAAAATACTGTTGTACTCTAAAAGAAAGCATCTACCTTAAGAATAAAACATGCTCTTATTAACAGCATCTGATTTCAGTGTCCAATGGTTTATTTCAGCATCAAACCATTTGTTCAGCAGGCCTACCCTATACAGCCAACAGTCGCAACCCCCATTTCAGGTAACATTTACAAATTTGTTTGTTTGTTTTAAGTTTCTTGGATGAAGTCTTTGCATTCCTTCAGAAGTGTCCCAAAAAAAAAACTTGTTTTCAGAGGCTTGGGAGTTTAAGGATTTTATGGAACTGCTTGACTGAAATGACTGTTACTGTGTATTTTTATTTGATTGAATTTAATGTTTATATCTGGTTTGCTTTAGTCCTGCTGTTTAACCTTTTATTAGTTTCAAGTTGATAATTGGAATTTAACTGCATATTATTGATGTTGTATTATCTTTATAAGGTGCCTCAAGAGGGATCTCTTTCCTATAGGCATCTTATAAGCATCCTTAATTAAAAGTATCACCCCATTTTCAAGCAGTTGTAGTCGTTTTAAACACATATTAAAATATACAAGGGAATGTGATAGTCTCTGTAATCAATTGCCAGAAATAAATATGTATGTAAATCAGTTTTTGTACAAGATTATTTGCATATTCATTGGAGATTATAAAATATTTATGCAGATTATATAAGACACCCCTGTGCTTCTGAGCATAGCAGTAGTGTGCTGCATATACTAGAATCCTTCATTGAAGGAGCACCAGTGAAAGAATGCACACAACTCTGGCCTTTCTAATGCTGAAAATCATACTTTGTTGACAAGAAATATTCAAAAACATAAGCATGTAACTTTTGATCAGTGAAGATGGCAAAATGCTGATGGGTATTGAAGAAAAGGCAGAACTGTTCAATTTCTCTTTAGGCTCCATCATCTTTCAGAAAGAATCTGTGTCCCATCTGGCATGTGTAACAAAAAGGCAATGGGGTAGGAGTTCAGCTTGACCTTGACGGAGATGATCAGGGAATTACTAAGCACTTTTAATGAGTTCAGTGCTCTAGAGCAGTTGAATTGCATCCTAGGGTGCTGAAAGAGCTAGTGGATGAATTCTTGGAACCTCTATCCATGTTCTTTGAGAAATCCTTGAGAATGAGTGAGGTACTGGAAAACTGGAGGAGGGCAAATGTTGTTCCTGTCTTCTGACTATCTTTCATTCAGTCTGCCATCAGTGCCTGGGAAGATTCTACAGCTGATTATAAAGCTCTCAGTCTTTTCCTTAGAAGTCACGGAATTGCTGAGAACTTAATGACTGAGTTCAGAAAACATGCTGTGAGATGCTGTGGTCTCTTTAACCACAATGAGCCACATTGCTCATGAGCACCAACTTTATATGCAACCCCCACTTTGAGGTTATCACATCATGTGTACCTGCTGAAGGTGGATTATGTGAAGCTTAAAGAACCCTCAAACAACTCATGCATTATGAAAAAGTTGTTTAACCCTTGCCTTTCCAGGTCATATGTCACAACAATCCCTAATCGCGGTTGAATATTCAATTTGGTGGCCACACTCTACTAGCAAGCACTGTAGCCTCACTCCTGTTGTAAGGACAGACCTGTTATATCTTGACTTCAGCACATCATTTGACAGAGAGGCCAGTTAGTCCAGTTAGCAACCTACTGGACTGTGGGCTGGGTGGCACTACTGCTAGTTTGATGCAGCACTATGGTTCCATGACTGTTCTTATAACAGTTTCCATAACTACTGGTCTCTCTGTTGTCTATGCAAAAGTAACTGGCAATAGATGCACATTCTTCAAACTGAGTCAATCTATATAATTTTGAGTCATTGTATTTCCATTTTTGTTGCTATATTTCTCTTTCTTTTCTTTGGCTGACAAATAAGAACATTTGGAGAAGCACTGCTTAAAGACACTGGGCAGCATCCAACTGCGTCATTCCATTAAAGCAAATGACATCGCATTAGCAGAACTGAGATTCTGAAATATGTGTAAGAGAAGGATCCAACTAAAGCTACATTTATGCAAGCAGTTGTGCATTATACTAAGGCAACTGATTGCTCATAACTCTTGCTAAACTCCTGTTGTCTAGTTCTTTATACAGTGGGTTGCACAAGCATAATGGAAAGCCACTAGCACAGTTGAAAATATCAGTGGAGTTCTGATACTGGAATGATCCTGTTGGATATACTTGCAAGAAATGCAGGAATTGCGTAGTCCCTAGAACATTGTCTTTCATTTTATTTCCATTGAAAAAAGATATGGGAATAAAAATAGACTTTTAGGAAAAGGTTTAAGAAACAAATTGTACAAATATACCAAGTCCATATTTGGAATCTATTCAGAGAAAATGTCAAAATGGTTGAATTTGTAATAAGAATTATAACGAGTCAGCTGGCATCAAGGTTTGCTCATTTACAAGAATTAATAACACAATGCAGATCAGCAAAGAATTTAACGACTTTATAAGGATGACTCTTTGTCCTTCAGGGTTTGAACCTGCATCAGCTCCAGCACCCTCAGTTCCTGCTTGGCAAGGTCGCTCTATTGGAACAACTAAACTAAGGCTGGTGGAATTTTCAGCTTTTCTTGAACAACAAAGAGACCCAGATTCAGTAAGTGCTCTCTGAAATGAACCTTGTAAATGCCCTATACAGCCATTGCTGTGCCTGTTCTCACAATTTTGTAATCATATTCTGAATTCATTTTTTGCATTGCCTTGTTAGATTTGTATTGTAGATAAACTTTATCTTATTAAACTTTGGCTTTTTGCTCTGGAATATTTCTGTTCTAACTCTTTATGTTGACGCTGTAGCTTACTAAAGTGGAGATTTCTGAGAATGCTAAAAGCTGACATCTTTCATTGTTGTTCTGTACACACTTTTCTATCCTACTATAATGCTTTGTTGAACTGATTTAGGTGTGTATAACTAAACTATAGGTAGATTTGGGCTGAAAAGCAACATTAAGAATACACTTCATTATTTTCTAAGAATCCCCTGCCTTCAATCTTCCACACTAGAAACATTTTAAACAGGTTTGCATGCTGTGCTCAACAGGAATGTATTTGAACAAATGCTTATTCTGAAATTACTCTGATCATATTCCATTGTCACTTATCAGGACAAAGAACATACCTTCATGAATCAAGATGCTGAATTAGTTTATTTCTTAGTGACCTTCAGTAACTAGGAACTTTGTAGAAGAGAACATGACATAAGAATAGAAGAGGAAAGAGACTAGATTGTGGAAGCCTGAAGTCTGTCATGAAAATGGGCATGTTTGTGCCTTCCTGTACACTAGAGTACCTCTTCAGGGCACCTTGTACAGGTGCACATTCTATCCAAAGTCGGTGCATATCCAATCTCAGCTTCTTAAAAACTCTTTCACCTACGATGTACTGGCAAGTCTGGCCCTTTTTCTTTGTCTCCAAACTTCTGGAGCATGACTTTCTCTCTCCCAAATTCAGTCCTTACCTCCTGCGATCTGCCTAACACATTCTGCGCTCCACTGAAACTGCCGTATCCTTACAAATGATCTCACTGACAGATCAAAGGTACCTACTTTGTACTTTCTTTCCTTGACATCTCTAATGCCTTTGATTACAGTGAATCAACCTCTTCATTTGTGCTTTAGGTATCCATGACTGTTTCGGCCTGGTTCTTCTCATTTCATTCAGATTACTCTGACTTTTCTACAGAAAGCTTCTCTGCCCTTTTTTCCTCTATTTTTGTGACTCTCAAGTTTTTATAAATGATCCCCTGCTATTCCCTACACACTTTTCCTGGGTGACCTTATCAGTACCACCTCAGTGATGGAAGTACTAGCTGTACCTCTCTACCCTTGGCTTCACTCCTTTGCCATCCTCCTAAATATAATTCACCCACCATATCTTGAGACTGAATTCTTAACCTATCCTTTGCATCTCCACTTTCAATCAGTTGCCTAAGTGTATGGAGACAATATTCTCTGTACAACCTTACAAAATTCTGCCCATTCTTCTTTCACTCCTTGCTTAAAACTGTTTTATGGTCTAGCTATGTTTTATCTTTACTGTTTTGCCTTTTTTTGCTCCTATCCCTTGTTCTTTGTCCAACACTCTGCTGCTAACGTTATTCTCTCCTCCCATCTAAACCATGTGATGCCTCTCCTTAGATCCCATCATGTGCTTTAACTTCTATATTCAGCAAACTCTATATTCAACAAAGTGCCCAGGACCTTGCTTCATCTTACCTCTCAGCCTGTATTTTTCATTTCAATCTTTTCCAGACCTCCATTCCTTCGCATTATCAACCTTCAGTAGACCAAAGTCCTCTTGTTCTCTTTCACAGCTTCTCATGTCTTCACTTGCTGCTCTCTGTGCATGCAGCTCCTTCCCTGGACATGTACACATTTGCATCGCTGTCCCTTTCTTCAAACTGTTCCTCACACCCTCCTTCGCTACATGGCTCTGGTTTTTCTATTTATCTTCATTCATCTGCAGCCAGACCTGAAGCACATGAAGCTACATTCATCCCCATAGCACGCTTTCCTTTCTTGTATTCTTTCTTCCCTTTCCTATTGCTCATCAAGTTCTTCTGCTACCTTATAAGTTCTCTGGAGGATAACAAAATGTCTGCATATCTGTAAGGCAGCGTATACACTGATGATAAAGGTTGAAATAAGGATAAGTAGTAGAAATACTAAGAATACATTGCCTAGTGTAATTGCTGCAGACAAATGTTTGTGTGGGGAACCAGAGCATTTCTCTTCCTGAATTTGGAGCTTGTTTAAATATTCTGCTTTAGAGCAATGTTTTACTATTCTGGATATCACTTGGACATTCCCTGATATACCAGTCTTCTCTTTTCAGACATAGGAGAGTGTTCTTGATCCTATGCTCTGTTCACGTGGGCAGCAGGACTGACCAGGGAAACTGTGAAGAACTGTGAATGTGCTAGAACATGCTTTATAATCCTCTTCCATTTATTTATTATTTTATTGCTATTATTTATATGCTGCCACCATATGCCTTGACATCTCAGGACAGCTCTTCCATGTACAAGGCACACATATTGCAGATGGCAAGGTGGGGGGAGGCTTCTTAAGTTCAGAAAATACATAAAGGAGCTCGAAGCCTTTCTGCACCTGAAATCTGCACCAGCGCCAATCCGAATAGACGGTTCTGAGTGGATGGTCTGAGTCGTTCTGAGGCAGCTTCCTTTCTTCCTATTAATTCCCTGGAGGCAGGAAGTTAGGAAACCACAGCTTTTGAGGAGTAAATACATGCAGTTATAATGGTTTTTATTACAGTCTCCTTCCAAGTATTGAGGAGGAGACTGGTATACATGTTTTAAAAATACCAGACAGACTTGGTGAACATAAATGTGCAAGAGTGATTTGTTTTGTATTTTTATTTTTTAGCTTGCAAGCTGGATTTTATACCACATAGCAAGAAAAGCTATGACATCCATTTAAATATTAATGATCTTCATTAATGGCTTGATATATAATGGTAACTTTTATGTTAAAATATTTGCCTTAAAAGTGTTTTAACATCAATTGATACCTGCGAGGTGTGTCACCGAAGGGCAGAAATTAATCTACTAGTTTTATTTCACGATGGCAAAAAATGTTTAAACCTGAATGTTTTACCTAAGGGGATTTTTTGTTTTTTTTTTATGAAAAGCAAATACACTCAAGAAAACATGGAAGATGCAGCCTTTCTTTTTATTAAAATGCTTGCAAAGTACAATAGTCTTTTCTATTCTTTTCGGGATACCAGTGAATGTATGTACCCTTGTAAGACATTATCCAGAGACTATTTTCTTAGAATAATGGAGATCAGAGATGTAGCGCAGTAAATTTACATCAGAAGAATCTTCTTGACAAAATAACTGTAAGTGAAAAATATTACAAGAATGCAGTTAGTGACTGAGTGCATAGAATACAATAACCCACTATCAGGAGTTGAGTATGGAATGTCATTGACTTTTGCTTGAAAAATGGGTTATATTGCTACCCAGTTCCAGATGACATAATAAACCATGCTAAACAACCTACAATTCACAACTCAGCAACAAACATGTGTTCTCTTTTTGGCTTGTTCCTAGTTAGCAAGCTGTGGATTATTCATGCATCTGGGACCAGATGACACAGTAACCTTCATCTCAACAGCAGCCTACGCTTCAGCAATGGCTAACACTCAACCCATGTACAACCCTTGAGTGTGGGTTCTGTTGTTTGACTCAAATTAGCCACAGTGGGTTGTCATGTTGTGTGCACAGAGACTGCTTCCCACAGGGTCTGTGGAAGCAGCAAGCCACCCTCAGCAACAAGCCATCTTAACCCTTTTCAGTTGATGGCAAAGCACTTGGAGCCTGGCAGCTCTGCATATATTACTGTGCATGCACTGGGCTGTATGAGTTGCCCGTCAAAGGCGCCCTGGTGATACTTTGGAGGGGCTGTTGGTCGTGGTCCCATCCAGTTTTTAAATAATTCAGTCCCAGTAATGTATACAAATAATTGCACTCATTCAACCCACCTTTCAGGATTTCCCCTTTACAAGCACTAAATAGTTGCCAATCTATCAGGTGCTTACAAGACTTCAAATGATTATTATTTACAAAAAAGGACTAATCCTCTATCCCTTTCACAGCAGGCTGTTTTGGTTTTGGAGGGAGAAGTTAGGTGTCCCCAGTGCCCACTCAGTTTGCTAGTGTCCCTCCAATAGCAGCAAAAAGACATTCAAAGAGATTTCCGCTGATGGGTGCTTGACAGGAGTTGCGCTCAGAGCCCCTGTTAGTAGGTATCCTGCAATTTTTGCAGCACCCTGTTGTATTATCAACTCTTGGTTACTTAAGAAACTTAGGGGATCCTGGGACATATGAATCCTGGGACATATGAATCCAAAATCCTGGATATTCTACTGGACAGAGCTGACAGGGAGTCAGTTTTTGTGATCTCCAAAAATAATACAAAGTTTTAACAGCAAAAGTCAAGTCATAGCAAGCCCAGTCTGTCACATGCACTGTGGACTGTTTCATGAACACCCCAAGTGGCATACATCACTCATAGGGTGGCTTAGGGTACGATGCCAGCACCCCTGCGAAGATGTTTCTAGGGTTAACTTTTCAATGTTGCTTTTCAGAATACTGAATAAAGTTCACCTTTGAAGCAGGGATGACTTAACCTCCTAGAAGATAGCACACAATCACTAAGGGTATTCCATTGAAACAGAGGTCTTGGGGTGAGGTGTTTAGAGTGATTGTTGACTTTCTTGAAAGTTATGAGATTTGGGTCATAGATCCATACCTGAAAGCAGCAACCTTGTTGGTTAAAAATAAGTTCGTGATCTAGTGACCTCTTCTTTCCTGATCATCACTTCCTAATCAGATCTGCATGCTCTCCAGCTGATGAATGGGGGCTATGTTACCGAAGGCTTCCTCCAGAGGAGTCATGTTGCCACTGCCATGATTTTTTGCCTAGGCATATATTTAGCAGCTGCTAAGGCAGCAACATAGACTATAAAAGGCCCTTGAACAAGATAGGAGTGGGTGGTTTGTGAAGCATAGCAGCAGCCTCAATTGTGCTCACCAGCAGAAAGGGAAGAGGAACGGACAGAAATGTCTTTTAT